CCCGCCACAACGCCCAGCTATTTTTTGGTTGCAGCCATCATTGTTGTTTGGCGGGCCAGGCTGGATTCAAACCCGCCAGCTCAGGTGTATGTGGCTGGCACCTTAGCCGCTTGAGCCACAGGTGCCGAGCCCCTGTTTCCTATTGATTCCCATCCTAAGAGCTAGAGTATGAGTAAAACGAGCATTATTCTGATTCATTGATAGAAGGGTGTCTCAGGCAGAATTGTCAGTTGAAATTTAAGTATTCCGGGCAGGGAAGGACTGAGGAATTCACAGTAAAATACTTTTCTGTTTTCTCTGCAGGCCAACAACCCACTGTATAAGGAGGCCACGTCCACTTTCACCAATATCACCTACCGGGGCACTTAATGACCAGCAGTCATCTTAGATCATTGTCAGACTGTACCAGGATTGTGGGAGTCTCTGCTGTCATGTTTACAAAGGACAGTGTTTGTGGGGTGGGACCTGGGGCTTACAGTGGGGTGGGTTGAGAGAATGTCAGTATGTGGAAGTGTGAGTCTGTGTGTGTGTGTGTGTGTGTGTGTGTGCATTGCATGGGAGGGAATGTGTAATTTAAAACTTGTGATGTGTCCTAATAAGCAGAGCTCCTCAGCTTTTGTCCTCAGAATGCCTCCTGCAGGGATTCTTCCTGCTTAGCTTGAGGGTGACCATGGAGCCGAGCAGGTGTTCTTCATTACCTCAGTGAGAAGCCAGCTTTCCTCATCAGGCCTTTCTCCCTGAAGAGAAGCAGGGCAGGGCTGAGGCCTCTCAGTCCGGAGGGAGGAAGGGCCGCCAAGCCTTGGCTCTGCCCTCAGTTCATAAGTTTATGGTTCTCGGGCCTGACTCTAAGCAGCCATGAGAGAACTGCTGGCCTTTTGCTGCCCCGAAATAGCATCTGGACCTCTATCTCCTCTCCCCTCAGGCTGAAGAATGGGTCGGGGAGAGCTGAACTGTCAGAGCTGCTGTGCCTTTTGCCATCCCTTCAGTCCAGCTATGGTTCTCTGACAAGGAAAGTCCTTTTACCCATTGGGTGTGAGGATGGCAGGGCCACTCAGGGGTCATTCATGGCCTGGGGAATGTGCCAGCTTCCCCTGGTTCATAATCGCAACCCTTCAGATTTGCCTCCTTGGCAGCTCCACACTGGAGGCTTGTTTAGAAGTGTGCCAACCTCAGACCAGCACGACTGCTTTACCTCCTCCTGCCACACCCTCACTGCTGTAGACATTCACTGTGGACTGGGGATTTCTTTCATGACCAAATACTTTTCCTCCAAGGGATAGTGCTATGGTTAGAGCCAGAGGTCTGGGCCTACCCTTCAGGCCTTTTGCTCCTTGTTCAAGGCACCTCCACGCACCAAACCCTGTGCCGCTGTGTGCTATGTCCATCCATGGGGCTGACTGCATTTATTTACAACCTCTTGGGTGTCTTGTGAAGTGATCATTCCAGTGAGTCTGTTGGGCATAAATGCCAGGACGGAATGATGGGCCAGATGTATCAACATGTGTAGCCTGTTCTTCTGTGGGCTGGACAACCTCATTTAACTCAGTCTTTGATCTGAGAGGCCACAAGTGCAATTTTATTTTATTTTTCACCTTGGGGCACCTGAAGCCATGATCAGGATTTCTTAATCTAAAGTATTTAAAAGTACTTTTATTATATTTGTAAATTTATGTGATGGCAAAGAAGGAAGCATGGAAAACCACACAGACTTGGGGAAACAGACATGTGGAGGGATATACAGCATCATTCATAGTAAGTCACTGCCCAGTTGCTGGCTCTATAAGGGGTCTTTCATCCTTGAAGCCTGTGAGGATGGATGTATGGACACACTGGACGTCTCCTGAGAAAGAGGGACATATTTTGTCTTGGCAATAGCAGTTGCTCCATTCGTGTTGACATAACATTAAAAACACCCCTCACTACCCAAGAAAAAGGGAAAGACTTATAAACAGTGGTCTGATGAGCAGAAAATTGGAGTCCTGGCCTCAGCATTGGAGGGAAGGAGTCTTTAACCTTGATTAAGACAAATCACTTTCTTTTTCCCTCAGGCTCAATTTTCTAGTTTGAAAAACAGTGGTCTCATCTCACTCTTAAGATGTTGGGACTTACTGGGGCATCAAATATGCAGTCAAGATTCTGTGGGATATTGATACTGTTTGTTTTTCTAGTTGGGAGATCGGGGCTTTGGCAAAACCAGATGTCTTTCCATATCACCTTTCTCTATGAGTCTCATCCTATCCTCTCTCCATACCCCTTCTCCAACTTTTATTAATAGTTCTGTCTCTTGTTGAGGAAGAAATTTCTCTATGAGTCTCATCCTATCCTCTCTCCATACCCCTTCTCCAACTTTTATTAATAGTTCTGTCTCTTGTTAGGGGAAAGGAATCCACAGGAAGTAGCTGAAATGTATATTTTATATCCTTGTGTTAACATCAGGAGTAAGCCTTGGAATTAGGAACGGCAATGACTGAGCCTTGTCTCACCAATGGTTACTCCTTACTGTAGGGAACCGGGATTTGGTAGCAGAATAAATGGGAAAGGGAAAAGGATAACTATGAATCCAATAAGTTTAGAACCTCACTATAACCTTCAGCTACTGAGAATCTGTGAGAGTATTAGTGGGACATTTTCATTAGGTAAGGTGGATTATTTGAAGAAACTATATTAAAGGGGGAAGAAATGGATGAATAAAACCAGTAATAGTCTCCTCTAGGCTGCTAGAATAAGGTTCATGGGCCTTTAAGACCAGTACTGTTTGTATGTAGGAATAATCTACGGCCCTGTTCGTGAGATAATAAATAGTAGTTCTGGTATGTAGAACAGCTAAATAGTATTCTGGCATCGAGTAAGAGCGCAAAGGGATTGTGCTCACCTTTTTCTGAGGTCATCTATGTCCAGACTCAGAATCTGTGGACAATAACAGGAAACTTTGGACATTTCTGACATGTTGCCATAATAGGAGTCAGTTCTTTACCTCTCAGATATTCCTAGACCAGCCACGATTTCAAGATACTTCTCTTTAAGTATTCCTGGTTGAAATTACTTAAGCGTCTTTCTCATTTCCTAAGCACCCTCTGTGTTTGGGTTGTGCAACAGTGAATTAAATGTGCTTTCCAAAAAGAATTGGCCTAAGGCTGCCCAGTGCTTCCTGTGTTATTTCTGTTTCCTTTGGGTGAAAAGAATAAGTGTCATTGCCTCACAAATGATTATTTTAGAACACACATATTTCTAAATGTAACAGACTGATGACTGCTGTGGGTACTGAAGCTAGCTAGCTTCAGAATCCAGAGCTTTTCTTTAGAATTAATATGTTTTAAAAATGAGTAGTTTATTACAATTCTGAGAGTTTTTTCCTTTTTTTCTGGTCTGAGACAGTCTTACTCTGTTGCCCAAGCTACAGTGCCATGGTGTCAGACTAGCTCACAGCAACCTCAAACTCGTGGGTTCAAGTGATCCTCCTATCCCAGCCTCTCAGGTAGCTGGGACTACAGGCAGCTGCCACACCACCCAGCCAATTTTACTATTTTTAGTAGAGATGGTGTTTCGGTCTTCCTCAGGTTGGTCTCAGACAACTAAGCTCAAGCAATCTTCCTAACTCAATCTCCCAGAGTGCTAGGATTGTAAGTGTGAGCCACTCTGCCTGACCTTAAGAGTTTTTTTTTTTTAAAATTGAGTATTGTTCAGGAACTTGTACAACCTCAACAGAACAGACTGCCAACAATAGCCCAATAGCTTTGTCTGTAGGAAGCATAAACAGGTAAAATAAAGGCTTTATGGCAAATTATTTACAGGACCATTTAAATGCCCAAATTTTATTTTAGGCAGTAGGTGGTCCCAAAGTGTGGTAGGTCCTTATGTGTGGTCCTAAGACCAGCAACATAAAAATCAGCTGGAAATTTGTTAGAAATGAAAATTGACAGGTCCTAACCTTAGAATTACTGAATCAGAAAATGGAAGGATGGAGCCCAGCAATCTATATTTTAATAAGCCCTCCTGGAGATTCTCATGAATGCTCAAGTTTGAGAACTACTGATATGAGAAGTCACACATGAATCTTCCTGCCCTAGAAAGGAGTTTATTAGAATCAGCTCAGTTACTGTACACTTAAGAACATACCTTGGCTGATAGATTCAGAACACCAAATAATCAGCTACACAAAATAGGAATCTGCTTTTGATCCATTTTCTAAATTGACTAATCTCGGGCTTCTTGGGTTCACTCATGGTCATAAATGCCCATGAAAAACTAGAACAGATCTAAATCCAGGGAAAACAGCTAATAGGATACTTGGCAGGCACCTAAAAACTTTTTATATGTAGCAAGCTGCAAGCAAGAAAACACTTAACAGATTTTATTCACAGGAGATGGGATCAAACTTAATCATTAACATTATTATCCATAGGATGCGGAAATAAGACTTTAGAATTTGTAACTTTACTTTTTGTTATTTCAAATTTATTGAGCACCAACAGTGTGGAATTGGAGTACTGTGGAAAAGAACAATCATAACCTTTGCTTTGAGTCTTAAGTTCCCTATAGAATGTACATTTTTTTGAGCACTATACAATCCATGACATCAGAGACTACTGCTGAGTTTTTTTATAGTAGAATCTTGAGAGATTTGCTGTTTTGTGTTCGTCTCGGTTAAGAGTTGACTAAATGGATGAAGATGGAGAATATTTTTTTTTCTTTTGGAGACAGAGTCTCATTTTGTTGCCCTCAGTAGAGTGCTGTGGCGTCATAGCTCACAGCAACCTACACCTTTTGGACTTAGGCGATTCTTTTGCCTCAGCCACCCTAGTAGCTGGGACTATAGGCGCCCGCCACAATGCCTGGTTATTTTTTTTGTTGCAGTTAGGCTGAGGCCGGGTTTGAACCCTCCACCCTCAGTATTTGGGGCCGGCGCCCTGCCCACTGAGCCACAGGCGCTGCTGGAACATCTTATGTGAAAATGAAAAGCTGTATGTCGAGCCACACTTGTAATCCTTTAAGTCTTGGATTCTGTAGTTTGAACTCTACAGTAACAGAGCCATCTAATGACCACTGGGACCAATTACAAGCAGAATGTCTAGGAATTACAGTGAACTCAATTTCCACAATGACATAATGGAACGATAACATGCTTTGCAAATAATCCATTTAAAAAATCATTATTTGATTTTATAATACAGTGTATTTATGGGAATATATATCCCTAATTTAGTTCGGTTAAAATAAGCAAGGAGGCAGTCTTAGATGTTTGCAGATACAGTTAAATATGTCACTAAATAAAAATGTAAACATCGATTTAACGTGGCTACCTAGGAATGGTTTGCATGTGAAGGGAAAAGTAGGAGATCAGGAACCTGTCTGCTTTCCTTGCAGCTTCTAATGTCATAATGATGTCTCCTCCCAACCCCTTGCATAAAGGAAAACATCAGCTGGCATTTGCTGACAATACCCCAAAGAATGGACAAAAAGCCACATTTAGAAATTTTAAGAGCCTTGAGGCAAAATGCCCATTATAAATTATTCTTTAGCAGTGTCTCTGAAAAGAACTTTGTAAGAAAGAGTTTCACAACTGATTCTGTTTCACCCAGTGTGTTAGTTGGGTTTTCCAGTGACTCATAAACAATTGGCATGATTCTCTGGAGAGGTCACAGTGACGGATGTGTAAATATCACTTTGGCCAACGGAAATAGTTAAGAAACGGGAAAAGCGTTGATGGGTGTATGCTGGACTTTGCCTTTCCTGACCCTTATAAACACCATTTTTCAGAGATTGCTAATTGTGCCCCAGTATCTGTTTTTCCATTCTCATATAGTATTAGAACTCCTAATTTTTAGCTGGACACATGGCTTCCCCTTATGTTTTCTTGTCTGTCTTGCAGCTAGATAACCATCTCATAGATGAGAACATCTGCAAATGCCATTTAAGGGAAGGAGCATATATTTCCTTTATTCTGCAGGCTGGAATGTAGAGGTAATAGCTGGAACTTAAGCAGCTATAATTGATCAATATGTGACCTAGGGGACTGTATTATAAGTATTTTTTTTTTTTAGGGACAGAGTCTCACTTTATCACCCTTGGTAGAATGCCATGGTGTCACAGTTCACAGCAACCTCAAAGTCTTGGGCTTAAGCCATTCTCTTGCCTCTGCCTCCCAAGTAGCTGGGACTTCAGGCACCTGCCTTTTTTTGTTGTTGTTATTGTAGTTGTCGTTGTTTAGCAGGCACAGGCTGGGTTCGAACCCACCAGCCCCGGTGTATGTGGCCGGTGCCCTAGCTGCTGAGCTACAGGTGCTGAGCCTATTTCTAATTTTTTAAAAAGAAAGTCTGCGTTGCCCAGGTTAAACTCTCAACTCCTGGGCTTAAGTGATACTCCCACCTCAGCCTCCCATGTAGCTGGGCTACTACAGTGGGGATTGTATTAATTATCTATTATTGCTGCATACAAAATTATCCCACATTTTAGCAGCTTAAAACACCAAACATTATCTTGCAGTTTCTGTGGTCACGAGTTCAGGACTGGCTTAGCTGGGTGGTTCCGGTTCAGAGTTTCTCATGAGGTTATAGTCAAAAGTTTTGTCAAGACTGCAGTCAGTTGAAGGCTGTAAGGAGCTGGAGAATCGTTTTCCAAGACAGTTTACGCACATGGCTATTGGCAGGAGGCCTTAATTCCATGCTGGCTGTTGGCAATAGCTCCTTACCACTTGGACATCTTCAAGGGACTGCTCATGTAACTGCATGCATGACATGTCAGCTGGTTTCTCCCAGAGGGAGTAGTCCAGAGAAAAGCAGGAAGGAAGACACAGTATTTTTTATGACTTAGTTTTGTGTCACACCATTGCTTTTGCCATACTCTATTCATTTTAAGCATTTCACTAAACCAAGCCAACATTTAAGGAGAAGGGAGTAGATGCCACCTCTTGAAGGAAGGAACATTGTGGACAGAATGATTGCCACTTAAGACAGCCACATCCTAATCTCCAGAACCTGTGACTGTGAATCTCACATGAAATAAAGGAGTTGGCTGTTATAATTAATTATCTTGAATTAAGGAGATTATCCTGGATTATGTGGGCAGGAGCAATGTAATCACAAGTGTGCTTATAAGATGAAGGCAGGAGAGTTGGAGTGAGAATGTCAGAGTAGGAAATATAATGGTGGGAGTAGCTTACAGTGATAAAGCCATGGGTCAAGGAATGCATACAGCCCATAGAAGTTGGAAAAGGCAAGGAATGGATTCTCCCTTACAGCATCCAGAAAAAAATGCAGCCTTTGACTCTAACCTTATATGACCCATTTTGGACCTCTGAACTCCAGAAGTATAAGATAATAAATTTGGGTTGTTTTAAGCCATTAAGTTTGTGGTCATTTGTTATTGTAGCAACAGGAAACTAATACAGATGTCTATCAAAGTGTTTGTGGACATATTTAAAAACCACCACAGTCTACCCTCTAGCCACAAATTATTTATGGTTCACTCACATGCAAAATAAACTCATCCTTCTCAAGGCCCAAAAGTCTTATCTTATTATAGCCTCAACTCTAACTTCAGAATCTTATCCTTTACATAGGTCCAGGGGCATAGAAGCCTTCTTGGGTGTAATTCCTTATCAGTAGCTCCTCACATACATCTCAATCTGAAGTTCTGTGAACTAAAGGAAAAGATTATATGCTCTTTCCCCACAACAACCAAAGTAAATGATGGGGCAGACAGGATAACTGGTACAGTATAGACACTCCTATTCTAGCAGGTGGAAAACAGGAGTCCCTGGTTCATAGAAATCTGAAATCCACTTGGGAACAAGTTTACAGTCCCACATTCCAAGCCTGGGAATAAGTCTATATAGCTTTTGGTTCCACCCTCCGGACTCATGTTCTAAGTCATCCTTTTATCATGAAAGATAGCATGTGTTGACATCTACATAGTTTTCTCAGCCTGCTTCTTGCTTGTAGAAATGTGGGGGGTCCAAAGACCTCTTTCCTTTTTATACTCTCTTTTGGCCCAAGCTTAAAGTGTTTCTGACAATACAATTCTCTGAAAAAAAAAATTACAAATCTCCTGTGACTCTTACTGGGTTTTAGTCTATGAGATAAAAGACATACCCACGAATTTCTTTGAGATATGTCTTTCTCTAT